TGTTCCTTGAGGAACGCCAAGATCCACCTGACGGTTCTGGGCCTTGTGTACTGACCCACAGTTTCTCCTTGTAGGAAAGTCAGGTATTCTGGTTCTGACTCGGCCCGGAATAAATTGAGTGTTAGGAAAAAATCCCGGCTGCCTGGAAGCACAGAATAAATGGGTCCGGAAGGTTCCGTCCAGAACCCGATGATTCTGACCGCTTGGCCTCTGCAGCAGGAGGGAGACCAGTTCAGCATGAACAGTGATCCTGGTCCAGAACCAATCCAGGATGTTTTTAGTCTCAATGTGTTTTATCTCCTGGTAAAATAAAGGCTAATAAATCCTGCTGAGCCATATGACCCAACCGGTCCTCTTGTTGCCATGGCAACCTGCAGTCCATCAGAACCTGGGTCCATCAGAAAGAAAAGGGACGACTCTTTTCTTTTTTTGTTAACGTTTTTATTATTTCAGAACATATATATGCATAACCCTCCCAGTCCTCCCCACACCCTCACAAAACAAAAAATACAAATAAAACAAAGCAATACAACCAGGTCAGCGCATATCAAATCAATAAACGTTTCACAGAAGATTGCCATATACAAATATCCTTGATGCTAGCAGAAACAACCACAGTAAACAGAAGTAGTCACTCATCAGTATTTTCCAAAACAGCAGTTCAAAGGAGTTTACTAGCTGACAATTAATTCCACATTAATTCCAACTAGCGACGACTCCTTTCTGAACCGAGCTGCAGCAGAATTCACCAGAAACAATCTGGAGGTTCTTCCTTCAGAACCAGAACCAGAACCTATTAACAGCTCTGTAAAGACATTGTTATTATTCTGATTATTCCAGCCGGGTCCAGTTTATCGGCCCGGAACATTTCAGCATGTCTGTGGCAGAGCAGAGAGCAGTAATGACCCGTTTGGATCCAGACCAGATTAATCGATGATCCAGGCATTAATAATCTACTGTGGATTTAAAGGATCTCAGGGTTTTGGCTGTTTTTCAGTTTTCTGGAAGTTTGTTCTAGATCTGTGGTGCATAGAAGCTGGCTGCTGCTTCTCCATGTTTGGTTCTGGTTCTGGATGCAGAGCAGAACCAAGCAACCCTTGTGGTCCGGTTGAGTTGGACCTGCCGGTTCTAGAACCTGACCTGCGGTTCTATCCGTCCCCAGGTGTGGCAGGTCCGGTCCAGTTGGACGTGAACGGGGACCGGGAGATGGACTATGCTCTGTGGGACTGGGACTCCAACCGCAGCGCCTACTGGGTACAGAACCAGAACCCTTCAGAACCACACTCTTTCCAGCTCTGACCAGGTTCTGTCCCCCTGCAGGTGGTTCTGACCTACAGCAGCTCTGAGCAGGACCTGACTAAGGTACCCGGGTCGGCCCGGTTCTGGCTGGGCGGAACCAGGCCTCTGGACGTTCCCTTCTGCGGCCTGAAGAACGACAACCCAAAGTGCCTCACAAGTCAGTGGACTGGACCGAACCTGGGTCCAAACATGGGCCAAAACCGGGTCTGAACAGGGCCGAACCAGGTCCAAAAGCAACCAGAACAGAACTCACTGACCCGGATCCCACCGGTCCAATGTCTGGTTCTGTCAGAACCAGAAGTTCTCCAGACCTGAGTTCTGACCCGGGACCTGGTTCTGGTCCGTTTGGGACGGTCTGCATCAGAACCTGAACTGGGAATGTGTTTCACCCCGCAGGAACCATCACTGTCCACCAGATGGCATCCATCCTGGTCTGCTTCCTCATCACCATGACGACCGCTGTCGCCATCTTCATCTACAGGTCAGAGGTCACCTTCACTGACCAGAACCAGAATCGGATTGTTTCCGCGTTCAAAACTAGAGCTGCTTAAACCGGTTTCAAACTGGTCCTTGAACCCCCAGTTCATCGGGGGTTTAAGGACATTGTCCAGGTTCTGGTTGATGATGGGTCACAGGATTTATTTGGACCTGTACGGTTCTGGACCAGCTGGACTCTTTGGTTCTGGTCCAGGTTTAACTGTTTTCCAGGTTTTGGATCTTACATGACCCAGTTTGAGTCCAGTCGGGTCAGAATTGGTTCTTGATTTGGACCAGTTCCATTTCGGTCTGGTTCAGGTTTGGTTCTCACTGAACTGATCTGACCTGGCAGTACCCCGGCTCTACCTGGGTTAGCTGATTCCAACTGGTTTCAACCAGGGTTATCTCCAGAACCCTCTGTGATTCTGACCCATGGATCTGACCCGTGGTTCCGACCTGGTTCTGGTTCTGCAGGAGGCTGAGGCTGGAGCGGGAGCTGGTGGCTCAGCTGTGGCGAATCTCATGGGACGATCTGCACATGAGCAGCATGGAGAAGGTTCTGCGGAGCGGCAGCCGGGTCACCCTGTCACTGGTGAGCTCTGGAACCACCGCCGGTCAGCAGAGCAGGAAGTTCCCAGTCATTCCACTTCCTGCTAACGAGAAGCTCTTTGCTCCGCAGAGAGGTTCCAACTACGGATCCTTAATGACCGGAGACGGAAACCTGCAGGTGTTCGCCAAGACCGGCTACTGCAAGGTGAGTCTGGCCAGGTGAGAGGAAGGTGGCCTTCATCATCCTCGTCGTTCCCTCAGTGTTCCCGTCTGTTCTCTCTCACAGGGGAACATTGTGGCCATCAAATATTCCAACAGGAAGCGGATCGAGCTGAACAGGAAAGTTCTGTTTGAACTCAAACATGTGAGTCTGTCCAGATCATCTGAAGACGTTCTGTATTGGAGCATCAGGCAGTTCTGGTTCTGTTGGACCTCCAGAACCGAACTGACCCAGACGTGTTTCTGTTCAGATGAGGGACGTCCAGAACGAACACCTGACAAGGTTCATCGGGGCGTGCATTGACCCGCCGAACATCTGCATCGTCACCGAGTACTGTCCCCGAGGCAGCCTGCAGGTACGCGCACCTTGACGTCCTCCTGTCCCCACATGTCCTCACTTGTCCCCACATGTCCTCAGGACATCCTGGAGAATGACAGCATCACCCTGGACTGGATGTTCAAGTATTCGCTCATCAACGACATTGTGAAGGTGAGCCTCTTCCTGCGCACCGCCCGGTCTCCAGGTGGGACAAACGCTCAGTACCCATCTTCGTCCTCAGGGAATGGTCTTCCTTCACAACAGCGTCATCGTCTCTCACGGTAAACTCAAATCGTCTAACTGCGTCGTGGACAAGCGCTTTGTCCTCAAGATCACCGATTACGGTCTGACCAGCTTCCGATCTGACCCGGACTGCGTCAGTGACACTCACGCCTACTACGCCCGTGAGTTCTCCGACTTCTCCATCGCTACCGATGGCTATACAAGAGGCACGGGGCAAACTTCGTCAAAATAATAGACCGAGCTGACCTTTCTCTGGGTTTTGTGCAGAGAAGTTGTGGGTGGCTCCAGAGCTGCTCCGGATGGAATCTCCGCCTCTTCAGGGGACACAGAAAGGGGACGTGTACAGCTTTGGGATCATCCTGCAGGAGGTGGCGCTGCGCCGAGGAGCCTTCTACCTGGAGAGGGCACTGCTGAGTCCCAAAGGTAAACCACAGCGGGTCCACAGGGTCCCACTTCCTTCCGGATTCAGGCGTCTCCTGAGCATCCCGGTGTCCCAGCAGAGATCGTGGACCGGGTGATTTTGGGCGAGTGGCCCTGCCTGCGGCCCACCGTCGACCCGGAGGACCACAGAGTGAGTCCGAGTCCCAACGAGTCCAAACCCGAGCTGGGCCAGCTGATGCAGCGCTGCTGGGCCGAGGAGCCGACTGAGAGACCCGACTTCAACCACATCCGCCTGCTGCTGCGCAAGCACGGCACGTAAGGGCCGAGACACGGGCCGGGTTGTAGGGGGTGAAGTCTCCTAGTTTCCCAGCAATGAGCTCTGACACCAGAGAGCCGAGCTGCTCTGGATCAGAACCTTCTGATACATTCTCACTGGAACCCTGTTTACGTCAATAACAGTAGAAATAAACTGCTGCCCTCTGCTGGTGGCTCTAAGGAAATTAAAAAAGTTGTCTGATAAACATCTACTATCATGAAATTTCCTGTTAAATTAAACAAATGTTTATTAAAGTGGTCGGACAGAGCAGAGTTACAGCTAAACGTTTGGTAAACTCTGACATGTTTCTGCTTCCAGAGAGTCCAGAAACAACATCCTGGACAACCTGCTGTCCCGCATGGAGCAATACGCCAACAACCTGGAGGAGCTGGTGGAGGAACGCACCCAGGCCTACCATGAGGAGAAACGCAAGGCTGAGGCCCTTCTCTACCAGATACTGCCACAGTCAGTACTATAGTACTACTACAGTCATCACTGTAGTAGTACTATAGTCAGTACTGATCCTGTGACCTGGTTGTTGTCATCTGCAGCTCGGTGGCAGAGCAGTTGAAGCGTGGAGAGACAGTTCAAGCTGAAGCCTTTGACTCGGTCACAATCTACTTCAGTGACATCGTTGGTTTCACCGCCCTGTCTGCAGAAAGCTCCCCCATGGAGGTCCACAGCCCCTGGACCTTTTGCTATCTGAGAGCAAAGGCTGCAAACTCTGGGGAACTGTTAGCGTAGCTTACATTAGCTAAGGAAAAATGATGGAAGCAGAGGAAACATTTAGCCTAGTCAAACATAAACATTGTTAGAAAAAGAAAACTATTAGCCTAGCTTAAACACAGGAAGCAGAGGGAAGCCTTGCAGCTGTAAACAGCTCCCCCTGTCTGCAGCTGAAGCAGCTGAACTATGCCTCCTGTGTTTCTTCCATGTTTAGTCTGAATCTAAACCCTGAGGTCTGTGTTTCTGCAGGTCGTGACTCTCCTCAACGACCTGTACACCTGCTTTGATGCCATCATTGACAACTTTGATGTTTATAAGGTGAAAACAGTTGGCGTTTGGGTCAGAACAGGATGAAGGTAGCTGGGATCAGAATTGGTGGATCTGAACGATTCACCTTTTGATCCAGTTGAAGAGGAAGGAAGTCATTCTGTCAATTTTAATTATGTTAACATAATTTTCTGCCACATTAAAAAACAAAACTAAAGCAGCAGACTTCAGCAGACTTCCTGTCCCGCTAACAGTGCCGTTGTCCTGCGGCGCCCCCAGGTGGAGACCATCGGTGACGCCTACATGGTGGTCTCTGGGCTGCCGGTGAGAAACGGGAAGCGGCACGGCAGGGAGATCGCCCGCATGGCGCTCGCCCTGCTGGCCGCCGTCCGAACCTTCAGGATCCGCCACCGGCCGGAGCGGCAGCTGGAGCTGAGGATCGGGATTCACAGCGGTGAGGATTTGGACCGGCGTTGGGGACGGACTGAGAATCTGATCCTGGACGGACCGTTGGAGTTTCCCACAGGAACCGGAAGACGCTTCTGTTCACGGCCCAGACCGGCTCTGATCCGCCTCTCTCTGCAGGTCCGGTGTGTGCCGGAGTGGTGGGTCTGAAGATGCCACGCTACTGCCTGTTCGGGGACACCGTCAACACGTCTTCACGGATGGAGTCCACCGGGGAAGGTGAGCCACGTCTTCGACACACCTGAGATTGGACTGGAGTGGTACCGTCCCCTGCTGGCCCAACAGAAGGTCCTCCAGGGTGGACCGGAACTGGTACCGACAGCAGGTGTTTACAGCCGTCTGTGTTTGTATCTGCAGCGCTGAAGATTCACGTGTCGGCGGCGACCCGCGACGTCCTGATGGAGTTCAACTGCTTCCAGCTGGAAAGCCGGGGGTCCGTCGACGTCAAGGGGAAGGGAACCATGACCACCTATTGGCTGCTGGGGGAGAGCAGCAGCCAATGAGGATGCAGCGCTGACGGAGGGGGCAGAGGATGGAGGCGGTTTGGTTGCTTCCTGGTTCCGGTCAGATCCAGAACTTCTGGAGAACCGGAGTCGGATGGATGGAGGAGAAACATTCCCAGCACCCGAAGGAGGAAAACGGACCGGGACCTTTTTGCAGAGCCTGATCAGGAATCCACATTTCCCTGACCTGGTTTCTCATTCCAGCAGCACTTAGTCTTCCTGCTCTCCATCAGAACTGACTCTGTTGGTTCTGATGACCCGGAGTTTCATGAAGGTGGAGCTCTCTCCCGCCTCCTGGTGGCCGCACGACAGAAATGACCTGGGGACAGGCAGCCACAGGGGGCAGCACAGGGCTGGGCTAACCAGATCAGAACCTGCTTGGCAGTTATCCTTTAAATATTGGATGCATTTCAGACGGGTTCTGATCCAGCAGGTCCAAAAGGTTCCTGCTGCGGTTCCGCCTGTTTCAGGAAGTTTAGAATAAATTGTGAAAAAAATAAAAACATGAAGAAAATTTTAAAATAGATCAAATAAATTATTGTGTTGGATTGCATCGATCCGGTCCTGTTTGGACCTCCATATCCGAGTCATCCGGTCCATCAGATCCGCCACTTAGAGTCTAACCGGGTCACAGGAAGCTGGACTTTCTGCAACCCAGATTTCATCCAATACCTTTTCTGGTTTTTCCACAATCCCAGAGACTGGACCCAAGTCAGAGAGCCTGGTTCCCAACAGAACCAGTAGAACCAGGTCAGCGAGGAGGAGCTGCTTCTGATTGAAGGAGGATTTAGATCTGTGGTGGTTCTGTTCTGCATTCAGATCAGCTGTTGTCCTGGACCAGAACCAGAACCAGAACCGGTCCTGCAGGGAGCATTTTGAATCACAGTCCAAACCGGCTTTGTTGAAAAATGTACAAATTTATTGAACATGTTGATGCGGAGGAGCCGTCCTGCAGGGGGCGCTGTGCCTCAGCAACAGATCGACTTCATTACAAACTGAACCAACGTAAAAACCTGCTGACCACATCCCATAATAACATAAAAACAAGGGTGGAGCCTGTTGCCATGGACACCTGGGCGTCTTCATGTGATGAGCTGTGAGGAGACAGAGGACATCATGAGACTCACTTCCTATCAGGACACAGCGCCCCCTGCTGGAGGACTCAAACAGGTCCCAGTCCGGTTCTGGACCCAGTCCTGTTCTGGTGAGGGCTAGGCTATACGGCTGAAAATGTATCGTGATTTAATGGTTTCATGTCAGTTGGATGACGATGCAGAAACGTGAATCTGCTGCTGCGCAAGTTACGCTACACATTGTTGCTAGGCAACCAAAGGGTGAGGGAGTTGATGCTATCCAGCTAGCTTATGAGAAGTTTAGCAGCCAAAGCCTTTCTTCTGCCTACATCTCCCAGAATGCCATGTGGTTCAGTGAAATTATTAAATATTCTATCAGACATTATCTATTGATACTGATCACCTGTCTATTTATTGTTCTGGACCCAGGGAGAACCAGAACTGGGCTGGACCCGCTGTGGTGAGGATGATGAGGGTGATGAAAGTCAGACTTACGGTCTTGACCGTCTGCTTGATGAAGTCCTTCCTGCTGCTCAGGTCGTGTTCTGGATACGTGTCGAACACCTGCAGCAGAGAGCAGAGGTCATGCGGGGCGGGGCCGGACGGGGTCAGAGGTCATGCGGGGTCAGCGCTCCGACCTTCAGGCAGATCTGCTTCATGGTCATCTCCTCCAGGTCGGCCTCCTTCAGCAGACTCTCCACCGTCTTCCTCAGCTGCTCGTCTGTCGGAGCCTTCTTCACCATCCTGATGAGCGGCTCATCTTCGTCGGAGCTGTCCTCGGCTGCACCACGGGGGTCAGAGGTCAATATACGCAGGGGTCAGAACCAGGCCCGGGTCGGACCCGGTTCAGGTTCTGGACCTGCGGCTCACCTGCGTTTGTGTTCTTGCTGCTGCTGCTGCTGTCGGCCTTCTTGGTTTTGGCGGCGGCTACTTTCTTCTTCTTTGGCTGAAACAGACAGCAGAGTTCTCCATTAGAACCTGGTTCTGGTTCTGGTTCCAGGTTCAGACCTGGGCCTGGTACCTTCTCCTCTGCCTCGCTGGTTCCGTCAGAGCTCTGGCTCCTAGGTCTCTTCTTCGCTGGTATCTGCTGCTTCTTCTTCTTCACTCTGCTGGACTTGGGCTTGGAGGACTGAAAAAACCAGAACCTGTTCAGGGTTCTGCAGGAGGTTTGGGTCAGAACCAAACTGATCTCACCTCATCAGACTCTGATTGGTCAGTCTGCTCTTCCTCTTCCTCCTCCTGTTCTGACCGTTTCTCCTCTCCATCCGAACCTCCGGCCTCCACCGACGCTTCCACCTTCTCGTCATCATCTTCGTCGCTACTGGAGTCCATGACGATGGCTTTGGATTTGCTGCCGGGTTTGGACTTCTTGGTGCCACTGGCTCTGGGTTTGCTCTTCTTCTTCTTGGCAACCGAGTCGCCGCTGGCCAGCTTCTTCTTGGTCCTCCGCTTCTTCTTCACTGGTGCACGCTGCGGGGGAACGACAGGAGCCGTTAGCAAGGGGTGGAGCCTCAGTAGGAAGGGGCGGGGCTTCTTCATGGAGGGGGTGGGGGCTCATGAAGGAGGGGCGGGGCTTCTGATCACCTTTCCGCTGTTCTTTGGGGCGATCAGGAAGACGAGGATCCGATCGATCAGATCCTGGTGGGTTCCTTTCTTCTCCAGGTCCAGAATGGAGCAGACCAGCTTCAGCTTGGTGTTGGTCAGGTTAGAGTTCCTGGGGGAGACAGGTCCATCAGAACCTCCATCAGAACTGCTCCAGGGATCCAGAACCAGCTGAGGAACCCACCTGAGCATCTTGTCTCTCTTCCTGGTGAACTCCTGGCTGTCTGCGGCGAACGGGAAGCCGTTGAACAGCCGCAGATTCTTCTTGACCGAGGCCGACTGAGAAGACACAAAACCGTTACTGACCGGGTTCTGGTAGAACGGAGCAGTTTGCAAACTAATATGGAATGCTTTGTGATCCTGGACCCGGTCCAGCTGGTGGAGAAAGGAGGACATGGAGATGTTTCTGTTCAGCAGAATCAAATCAGGAACCATCAGCTGCTGACCCAGTTCTGTTGCTCAGGCACAAGCTGGAGACCTTCTGGCCTGCTAGCTGGGACGCTAACAGGGATGCTAACAGGGATGCTAACAGGGACGCTAACAGGGATCAGTATTGTTTTATCAACCCAGAGTAGCTGAGTAGAACCGGGTCAAAGAGTTTCTTCAGACCCAGTAGAACCACTGAGGAGTTCTGGTTCTGCTGAACTCGTCTGGATCAGATCTCACCGGGTCTGAGTCCCTCTTCCTGGCTCTTTACCTTCCCGGGTCGGTCGAACAGGATGGCGTGCAGCAGCTTCAGCTCCTCCGCCTTCCTCCTGGTGATCTCGTAGTTGGTCCGAGGAATGTCGCCCAGCTTGTCTCCACTGCCTTAACACATCAGAACCGGCCACCTGTCAACCCGCAGAACAGGTGCAGGGCTGGTTCTGTTCGGGTCTTACCATCTGCCACTTTCAGCTTCTCCCTGGCCTTCGGAGCCTGGAAATCCAGCCGGTCCACTGTCTTTTTGGTCCGCTTCCCTTCAATGATTTCTCCACCGTCTGCAGCAGAATCAGAACTTTCAGAACCTTTAGAGTTCTGGTTCTGGGCACACAGACCCGGTGGGCCGACGGAGAATCCAGATACCTGAGATCTTGGAGGAGCTTCTGGAGGGAACCGCCTCGTCTCTCTGAAAACCGTCCTCCTCAGAGACAGTAGAGCCGTCCATTGCTTTGCTCATGTCTGACGTCTGGACGGCCAATCAGCAGAGGGCAGATGTCTGGACAGCCAATCAGCAGAGGGCAGATGTCTGGACAGCCAATCAGCAGAGGGCAGACTCAGCTCTCCAATCTCACAGCAGCAATTTAAGCTTCTGCCTTCAGATTGAAAAGGTTTTTATGTCTAATGACCTCCTGCACCACAGGGGGCGCCAGAGATTCATCCCACCATGTTTCAGTAAAAGCCTTTTTTCTCACCCTGAAGAAATCATCATAAAAACTCCAGGGCCTCATGTATAATAGAGTGTACAGTTTTCACACTAAAACTTGGCGTACACACAAATTTAGGGGAAAAAAGGGATGTAAAGCCGTACATACGCTCATACCTGTGCACCAGTGACTTGCGGTCAGGAGAGGCATCATGGGAAAAAAAATATAATAAGATAATTTATATTGCTCTTTGTGGTTTCTACTATAAAGTATTCATTTTTCATTTGGCTAAACCAATTAAGGCTGTAACGATTCCTCGAATGATTCGAGTACCTCCATAATTAAAATTCCTCGTGGAAAACTGATCTGCCTCGAAGCTTCGTTAATTTATGTTTTATTATTTAGCTCACCGTGTTCTGACCGGAACATTATTTGTCTGTACGTCGCTAATAAAATGGCTAAAAAGATTCAATATATAAACTGGTTTTCCATAATTTAGCTCATATATATATAATGTACAGTGTTTTTGTCACAAATTGTGTGTGTGACGTGTTTTGTGTGAGGAGGAGCGATCAGAAACGGCCGAGAACAGATTGGAGGTGAGGCAGGCAGTTCTCTGGCCTCATGGCAGGGGGCGCTCA